GAGAAAAATCCATCTTTATCGACGTGATGATAGAATTTCTCGTGCTTCTTATGCTAATATAATAATATTCGGTGGGATAAATAGAAAAGAAAAAGGCATTCAACGAAATTTATGAATTTTAACAATCAATAAAAAAGCGTAATTGAAAGAAAACAACGAACAACAAATCCCATTATGCTGAATACATCACTTCGAATCGATCAAAATTTCAACGGTCAAAGACAATGATACACACTTACTAACGAAGAACATAGTATTGTAACCAATTAATTACATTTGAAATTGAAATCTTACTCTCAACTATCTTTGTAAACCGAACCTTTCACTTTGTCTATTTATTTCCATTCAAATTAATCGTATCATTTCTACTTCATAACTCTTTCTTCCTCTTTTTCAACCATCAAAATATAAAAACGAATTTTGTTGATACCAAAAACTCAAATTTGAGTCAAAATTGAGAAAATCGGCTGTTTTCATCACATTTAACAAAAAAAAATAAAAATAATATTAATAAGCCAATTCTTTTTTTTTTTTTTTTAACTTTCTTTCCAACTTCCACATATTTTATTTGCGTCGAATCATTTCATGAAAATTCATTCAGCTGTTATTTAGAATCTGGAAACCGCTGCTCTATTGAATTAAGGTACATTCTGAGTTTTTTTTTCTGTATTTAAACACGAGACATAAATTTTTTTCGATCTCAAAATTTAAAAAATTTTACTGAAAGTTTTTGTCGAATATCATTCTTTCATTAAACTAATTTACCTAGAGAGAAATTTCCACACAATGTTGCCAATATGAGAAATTGCCAGCTAACATTTAAACTCATTAACACTTAGTTGACAAAATTTTTTTCCATTAATAACAGAAATGCAAATATCTTTTAGTACATTGAATTTAACTCAGATGGCGATATTTATATCTTCAAATCTTCATACAATTTACATATCCATCTGGCAAAAATGTTCAGTTTGTATCCTTTTTCAAGAAAGTAATGCACTTCCTGAATTTTAATTATTTCTACACGAATTGATTGATATTCACAACAGCAAACAGACAATATGAATTGCACCACTATAGAAATTGCTTCAACTTATCGATGTGTAAAGCTGATACCTTCGTTCCACAAGAAAAAAGAGATTTCTGACAGTAGAAAATCAATACGATGAGCTAAAAATTGCAAATAATCTTTTAGTCCATTGAATTTAACTCAGATGACAATATTTACATCCTTCAAATGTCTAAATGAATTATGAAGTTAGTCAGATTGAATATTCAAAACATTCATAAAAAATCCAACATTATGATGTTTAAGGAAATAAAGATAGTTCGAGAATAGGTCAAACTCTGGAGAAAATAGGTCAAACTCTGGAGAAAATAAATCAGCTACGATATTTTCCTTTTGATTCAATGATTCATACAACGAACTAATTAACAAATGATATGATTCACATTCACCGGATCTGGTTTGAAAAATCAATAAATGATTCTTACAATGTTAGCGTCAGTCAGATTTATTACGATTGTTCTCGACAGAAATAATTGTCGTTTTATCAAGAAGAAATATGAAATTAAGCCTGAACATGATAACTGATAGAACGGATTGCGAATACGTAATCGTAAAGATAATAATTAATTTGTTATTTTGGCACACTGTGCATTTCAATTCAAAATTAGTAATACCTAGTGAAAGCAATTTGTAATCCTCAAATTTAAATGTGACATGTATGGATTCATTATAGCGATTCTGGTTATCAATGCAATCGATTATTTTACTAAATTGCCATTTGAAGAAAAGAATGTGTCTTATTCTTTGATAATGCTATCAGTGGAGATAACCTTATTTCTTCATACTTCCAAGAATGAAAAAAAAAAAAAAAACAAACGCTTGAAAGGAAATATTTTCAAACTGGCCTTATTACTGATCCAGTCATTTACAATGATTCAGTCATTTCCGAAAAATAAATTTACCCTACGATATGCAATTCTGACTAAGATAGTGAAACTAGTAGAAGTCATTGTCGTTATTATTCTTACTGATATTACAGTGTTAATATTAGCACAAAACATTTTACATAGAAATGAAAGAATTTTGACAGGAAAAAATACAGTTTAAAATTTTATTAATGTAAATTTAATGTTTGCTTATAAATTAGCTCTCATTTAGAAATGTCACTAATTATCTTACATTATTAGGTCATTCAATGCTTTGTTGTAACATACTTACTATATAAATGTAGCATACACAAGAAAATTCCAGTTGTCTATGAGATAATTCCAATGGCTCAATTCGATCATAATTGCTTCTATCTTATCGGAATGCACAACAATTGATCCGATCTACACTTCCTGCACTAAAACACTTATTATTCCGCGCGGAAAGAAGAAGCTGAGTTTCTAACATAATAAATGCGGAAAATACTACCATTAAAATAAACTGATTTTGCAAGCCAAATTTTACACAAAAGACGTATAGAAATTATAATTACAGTCTTCAAGTTACATAGTGCATAAAGTTCCAGATGAGACGTAGGATAGTTTTGGCCTTCTCGTAAGTGCTGTATGGAACGGAAAAACATTGCTTGTCGTGAAAGACGATAGATTTAAATTATTATATCCAAAACTAACAAATTACTCTTATCTGATTCCTTTTCCTCACACAACAAAAACCCTTTGTTAGCAAACCCTTTGTTAGCAAAACCCTTTATTAGCAGTCTTTGTTTCACATCAGTTAAATATCCTCTGCCGGATATCTGGTCAGCTCAGTACTGCATATATACCATCGTCCTCCATACGATGGTTCATTCTGCATTTTGGGGTGGTTTTGATATCATTTTAATGTTTTATAATTATATCTTTCGTTACGCGTTTGTTAATCGGTGTAGCATCCGTACGATATGTATAAAGCGCTATTATTTGCTTCATGTTAAATAAAGGTTTAATTACCCAAGTTTGAGGTTTCACGACATTGCTGAATAGCTCAAACAGAGATAATTACTGTTCAATTCTTCTTGGACAAATTTGACAAGTTTTGCACTAAAAAAAAACATTTGTAGCATCCAATTTTCATGTCTATAATTGGAATATTTCTTTCCATTTCTTTCTGAAAAATTAATTTCTTCGTAAAGTTAAACATTTTTATTTCCTACTTCTGTGATATTTTGGCATCTTTTCTAATTCTGCTTTTTGACTTCAGTGTTGTGAGAAACGAACGAGTATAACACCAATGTTATTGTTGTGATTTTTTTTTTAGAGTGCAACAAATTAAGAGGAAAGATTTATCGTTGTAAGACATAAAAGCGCTGTTTGATCTTCTTTGAAAACAACCAATCAATTAGCTCGCAAAAATTGAAACAATCATTTATTTAGTAAAACTTTTTGCTGATACGATAATACTACTAAATTATAACTAAGTAGCAAATTAGCGATTATATCATCGACAATGCAATTTTCAGTTTAATTATGGGTCACATTTTGTCAAACCGTTTTTGATACTCATACTGTGTTTGTTGTTAGGAAAGTGTCCCATTCAAACGAACTCAAAGAGATATATTAATAGAAGAGATTGCAATACATTAAATAATATATGTTATGCATCCTTTTTTGGAATTGCTATTTGAGAGAGAAAGAGAGAGAGAGAAGTTCAAAATAAAGTTGTTGACATGAACTAATCAATTGACATCATCCGAAAGGCAAAAGTATCATTCCATAAACATGTGATGAAGCAGTAAAGATCACTGAATTTGTTAGAGTTATAGTACTTGAATACTTTTATATCAAATTGGCAGTATTACATTATTGGTTGAGTACTGCAATGATATCATGCTCAGCTCCTTATGATAATTTTCATTGCGACGAATGGTCGGTCGCTATATCGCAATAAATCGCAAAATTACTTCACTTCTAAGCATCCTTTAGTGCCTTTCCGAAACATATTTTAGTATCCGGAATTCCTGTATTGATATAATATGCATCATTCAGCAACAATTCACTTTTATAAAAAATCAGTCTAGAAATCAGTCTTATATCCATCATTATTATTACATAATTACTTACTCAAAAAATCATTCCAAATGTATGCACATTGTTGCTCCCTGCAAGATGTTCATTTTAATATCTTGCAGGATTTAGAGTAAGAGAAAATTATCTGATTGTGTTGAGAAACACAATCAGCCTGTCTCGCAGCATTAAAAGAAAATCAGAAAATCAACAAAATCATCTCTATTATTTGATTAACAAATTCTTACTTATCTTAGAGATCGTCAATATATCTCGCATTTGAATTAGTACTTTTAATAACTCTCTAAGGTTTTGGTGAATATCCACTGAAAACAATCCAAACTGCTCCCATTCACTAATAAATCTATAAATGATACGAGAAAAGTTTATTGATAAAAATAATTTGCTGCAAATTCTAAAATTGAAATCTTCAGATTAAATGAAACGAAAGAGAAACTTTGGAAAAAAGAGAAATCCTAGAAAAGAGTAATGGTGTGTGTATTTTATAGTTCTGTTAAAACTTACTTAAGCTAGGTTTCTCATTCATGGTCTCATTATTTAACAGAACAACACAAATATGTCTTTTCCTTATTCAATTCTTTTGGATTTCTTGCTATTTTCATACTATAGCCAAGTATTCTGTTCGAATTTTCTGGACAGTCTTTTTTATTTACCAGGTTTTTCGTATTATTGCTTAAATTAGTGGCAAAAAAAATTTTTCTTCTTTTAAGAACCAAGATTGCCAAATTGAACATATGAGCTATCTCTATTTAAATAATTTTGGTAACAAATAATGTGGTTAAATAGATTAAATATTGAATTTTAAAAATGAATATTGTATGAAATATTGCATTTGAATCTTATATATATATATATATATTTTTATTGTTGAACTTCTTGTCACTTCAAAGTGGCAGTAGCGTATTCGAATAAGAATATTTTATTCATTCCTTATTCCGAAAGCAGAACGTGATATACTTTAGATGAAACTGCAAAACACGATGAAAGTGGCAGAAGAATTAAGTATAGTGACCTTCGAGATTCGAGATGAAATGTTGCAACAAAGAGGAAATGCAAAAACAGCAGTTCAGGAACGAGAAAAAGTCAATTTCTGATCCCTGTAGAGTTTAATTTTTCAGATGCTCAAAGTTATTTTGTGATCATATTTTTGTTCTTATTATCTCACATCCATCCTATGATGGATTAATTATGTCTTTCATTGTAACTTTCAAACATCTATTCGAAGAACATCAAAGGTACATTAGAGTTGCAGGCCAACAAAAATTAAATGCCGATAAACTTAAGAGAATCAGACCCTAATATTCCGGGAGTTAAAAAGGAGAAGGAAGAAAAAAAGGGACATTTTTAGGAGCTTCCATAAAGGTTGTTCATGTTACTTTTTCTTTTTTTACTAAGTTTCAATTGTGATTTGTTATCCTACTAATTTCAATTTACTTAAATTTCTTTTGATTAAAAAAAGTAAAAGTGCAGAGATAATCTATTTGCTGGTGATAAAAGTCGGTGAATTAAGTGATATGGAAACCTTATCACATATTACGTTGGATAGAAAAATTAAACTTTTATCACTGATGCATCGAGCGCAGCTAGTCAACAATTTTTTAATTGTCAATCAAAGAAATATGAATTCGAATGCTAATTTAATTGCTAAAATGATACTCACATTAATACATTTCACACTGACATTTGAGTATCAAAAATTACCTATTTCATATAAGAATAATCGATTCAACATATAAAGCTACCAAATCTGTTCAATTCATTGTCTTGTAGCTGTTTGTATCCAATTTGTGACTGGCACTGTTGTCACTGTTGTACCGGAATTTTTTTTGCAGATAAGGTTGTGGTTAAACAACAGGAAAGTCATTCTAGAAACACTATATTTCTCTTGAAACTCTCAAAATTAGATGCAATAGAGCAAAACGCAAAGCATCCTTAAAATATTGAAGTAGACATAAAAAGGACGAATGCGCAAACTGAGAAATGTGTCACTGAATTGTCATATGAAGTTGACATATCAGTGCAGAGCTCCTCAGAGTTACTTTCTGACTGCATTTCATCAAAAAGTTTCAAAATAACATCACTAATAATAGGTGCTTTTGGTGGCAAAATAATGAAGGATCACTTACCCATCCAATGATTGCACCAGAATCCATGATATAGTGGTCGTCACAAATAGCACCCATTTATTAGTGAACACAAATGGATGGATAATCAATATAAAAGTATACGATATATAAATTACTCCAAGTATGCATGACTGCAATGACAATAATTTAAAAGTATTGCATAACATTGGCATTTGTTTGTTCGTATTGCTTGCAATTCTCGAAGAAAGCACACTGAATCTATTTTTGATCTTTCTCTTTTGAGACTGATAATCCAAAGTTTTTTTTTTTCTTTATTAGTTATCTGTTTTTGAATGTATTTGAAAGAAATATTTATTAAGATGTCTTTCATATTTGCAGCATTGCGAACAAATTCATGTTTTAAATGCGCAGCTTATGGATGCAAATCGCATGAGATATATGAATGATTGTGCTACATACAGTGAAAAATTGACCGAAATGAAAACTACAAATGCAGAGGTAAGGAATTAATTACTTTTACATCTATATTCACTTTTTATAAAGCTTTCAAACAGATAGCAAAATTTTGCTTTCTTCGGCTAATTCATTTGCCCAGCCGGAGTAAAGTTTTGTGCATACTAATAAGTCCTTATATGCTATGGGCAGATTATTTAATAGTACTTTCCAAACTTTGATCTGCCTATATTGAATCTTTTATTCCTTGGTTAAAATATTAATTTGAAGATGTTTTTGCAGTTAAGCAATAAGCTGGAAGCACTGCAGAGCGCAACTGCAACGAGTGATGCAAATTGTGGTGAATTAACGAAGGAAGTTGAAAAATACCGAAAACAGCTTCATGATGTTATGGAAGCCCATGATAAAGTGATTTTTTTCTATGATGATCTCGATTAATTTGCTTTAAAATAGAATATATGCAGGAAGAAAAGGAAAAATATGCTAAGCAGATGTCTGTCGAGTAAGTAATTTCTCTCTTCTTTTAAAGTATTACTAATCAGTGGAGTAGAACCCAACGGTTCAACTTCTTAAAAATGAAATAGCATACTGGAATATCGAAGTCAGTGACGATAAGAGCTCAAAAGGCTAATGAACTAAACCCGACGCATTTTTAGGCGTAATTTGTCTAACCTTTCAATCGAAACCCATTTGGCACGGAGAATCACGCCGGAGGCATACACCACTTCCACAAAACTTGCAACCTCACAAGTGTACGCGTGTTCCTCCCCATGACAAAATAGATATCCCGAATATTGACGTTTATTAAGTCTGCACAATACAGAGTGAGATATCCTATCTCTTCTTGTCAAGAAATGTCATAGTAATGCTGAATCAATCAGAATATTTTATGTACTGTTTATTTTATATATTAATAGGAAGCATAGTAAAATACCGGAATAACGAAAATTCAAATTTCACAATCATCGATGTTATTAACGTAATTGCGTTGATAGAAGTATGAACATATCGTCAGGAAAACATTGCTTGTTTACAACGTCCCGTGTATTTCTTATTTAAGGGTAGAAATTTCCTAGTTACCCTTAAATTCAATTTCAAATTTAATATTTGAGAACATGCTTTCATTAATGAAAATAAGTAGTAATAATATATCTTTGACTTATCCTTTCTATCAATGTCTTATTCGATAGCACTCGTCGAATCATTGCCCATAATGGAATAGGCTTAACTTGCTTATCGAATTATGCTTAATCGTTAAAAGTAATAGTATTTTGGCAGATTCCTTCAAGTGCACCATAATGTCTGAGAATAGTGAGTTTGAAGACGGTATTGCAATGGGCTGCATCGTTGCGGTTAGTATTTCAACAAATATATAATTGATTATTAAATTTGGTTTAAATAAAATTAGAACCATCAGTCAGTCCCTTTCTAGCAGCTAACACAAAGAATATAAGTACTTGCAACAAATACTGAGGTACTGATGTTTGATTTTGCTAAAATCCTAAGATCATAAACGTAAACACTGAATTTTGAAGATTACCATGTTACTAATGCCATAAAAAATGTAACTTTCTTACTACAAATTCATAAAGTTGATCGGTTTTATTACTTTAACAGAATGCATTATAGATATCGGTCTTTGGACTGATTAGCAATGGCTTATCCTTTTATTTAACACGTACAAGATCACGTTTCCGTAATGCATTTGGAATTTTATGCAGTAGCTTTCTAATCTGTAATTTGCAAGCTATAATTGTTCTTCTCACGTGGTGTACCATTGTTCTAAGTCTGTAAGTTCTACTTATGAAAAAGATTAATTTCTCATTATTTACGAAATTTTCTTCCGGTTTTTTGTTTTATTTGGATAATTCCACTTTGAGGAAGTCTCCAATATTATCGTCACCAGAACTGTTTTCCGTACGATTAGTTGGTGTTATTTTGAACGGAGCATGGTTTGGGTCGATTCTTATGCATTTTTTAACAGCCATCAATAGATTCTTTGCTTTCGTTTATGCGACAAGGTACAATCAGTTATGGTCAGAAGGGAGGACTTTCAAAATTGCGATCATCTTTTGGACAATCTCAATGGTCTACTGCACCCATCATTTGTACGGTAAGCAATTGATTTGATCATATCTTTTGTAAAAATCCCTTGTCATTGCTTCATAAAAATTGCAGAAAATTGTTCGCTTCTATTTAATTATGGCTCGAAGTATCGTTGGTTACATCACACTTCTTACCATGGTCAGATATGTGCTAGAATTGATGCTATAGTATCAGTAGCTCTGATAGTAGCAATGGCATGCACTGACTTTATTACCTTACTCAAAATAATTGCATATCACAGAGTAAGTTAATTTCTGATAAAGAAATGCCTTAAGGAACTGATAAATCTGATATGCAGATTGCAGGCAAAGATTATTTCTTGAACTTTAGACAATGCGAAGAAATACGACAGAGTCAACAACTGTTAGTGTTATTAATGAAAAAGAAGTATTGTTCTTCAAACAGGTAATAATGAGAAATTGAAAAAAAAATGTTTATGAAAGAAGTGAGGAAAAGCTTGATTGCTGCAAGAGTTAGTCGACCAAGTTTAAATTCCGTTTAAAGCTTGAATTTTAAATTTAAATTGATATCAATTGTATTAATATCACTCTTGAGTCATGCAAACTTGGCTTGCTCTACATCTCATGTGCTGTAACATACAATATTCCTTCATATTTATTGACCGATAAATGGATGCTATTCATATCAAGCACGATCGCAGTACTTTTGGTGCATTCACTAGATGGGTAAGTTTTTTTCTGTTAAAATTATTTCCCAAAACCCTTAGTCTAATAAACTTACCAATTATTTAATTTGTTGCAACAGTCCAGGTTCATATAACAAATAGTTTCAATAACTTTTTTTTTTTTCAGTATCTTCACGATCGCTCAAAAGAAAGTGTTCATTTTTTCAGATTGATTTTTCTAGTTTTCAACCGGAAGCTTATTTGCAAAACAAATTTCGATGGAACATCAATAGCACCAGCTACAAATTTTCAAGTAAATCGACGAAGTGAATAGTTCTCATGCATTTTTATGTGACGGATTGGTTATTTCCACATGAAATTGCACATTTTTTTTCGGTTATAATCTTTTGCAAATTAATTTGATTGTTTTAGCGATTAGCTAGGTGCGGTACATTTGCCGGTGGCTTTTCAAGTTTTGTGCTTTTCAAGACTAATCAAATATTATTTGATGTTTTGAAAGATTGTATGAATTGAAATAACTGATTTTGCTTTATACATTGTTTTAAGAGATCTATAAACATATTTCCATGAAATATCTCTTGTTTACAACACCGATGTATTTCTTATGCAAGGGCAAAAAATTCCCACTTAAATTCAATTTGAATTCTCACTAATGAAAATAAGTAGTGGTGATAATGTACCTTTGCCTTACCTCTTTTCATCTACTTCCTAGCTTCATTTTCCTAGCTTTGTTCAATAACACTTCTGGAACCATTAAGCGTGGTCAACAAGGCTAAATGATCAAATTTAACTAAATTTTTAAACCTAATTGTATTTTTCGCCAATTTCTTCAAGTGTGTCATAATGGGTAAAAACAGTGAGTTTGAAGACGATATTGCAATAGCCTGCATTACTATGGTTGGTATTTTATCAACATAATTAATTAATTAATTAATTAGTAGTTTTGGTTTAGATAATCATACGGAGATAAGAACTGAAAACCAAGGACGATGCAAAGACAATTTTCTTTCCATTAGACACTCAAAAGGATGTAAGCTTTTTCAACGAGCATTGAAACGAGCGAGAATGTGAAAGTTGAAGCTCACGGATTACAGTTTGAATTCTCAGAACAGTAATTTCCATCAATTTCATACTTTTATTTCAAATGCATCTTAGGTAGCGATTTTTGGATTACTCAGTAATGGAATGTCACTCTACATTACACGTACGGGTTCACGTTTCCGTAACGCATTTGGAATTTTATGCACAAGTTTCCTGATATGCAACTTGCAAGCCATATTTTCACTCTCCGCATGGTGTATCATTGTTTTAACCGTGTAAGTTGCGCTTACTAACTGAATATTCTCCCTTTTCTTCTATCCTTAATATTCCTTTTATTTGATTAACAAAATTTTTCTAGGAAATCTCAAAAACTATCATTGCCAGAATTCTTCTTCACACGACCAGTGGGCATTTTTGTGAATGGAGCATATTATGGATCGCTTTTTGTACACTTTTTCGTCGCTGTCAATCGATTTTGTGCTTTCGTTTATGCCACAAAATACAATCAGTTATGGTCGAAATCCAAGGCTATATTAGTTGGAGTTATGTCCTGGGTGGTCGGGACTACCATAAGCATGGCACATTTATACAGTAAGCTCATATATTATCACTCATATACTATCACTACCATAAGCATGGCACATTTATACAGTAAGCTCATATATTATCACTCATATACTATCACTACCATAAGCATGGCACATTTATACAGTAAGCTCATATATTATCACTCATATACCATCACTACCATAGGCATGGCACATTTATACAGTAAGCTCATATATTATCACTCATATACTATCACTACCATAAGCATTATACAGTAAGCTCACCATATTTCATCATGTATTAAGTATTTTGTAACGTGTTCGTCAAGAATCTGTAAGCATCACGTGAAATATTTGCATAAATCTTACAAAACAAACAAATGATGTAAAGTATCTATGAATATGTAGCTAAATTTTGCTGATCGACTTGGAAAAACGAACAAGTTAAGCGGACTTTTTCCGATTAATTCAAACCAAGCATTATCTGCAGCAATTCCGTTTCAGGATTCTTATTCGTTATTTATAGCAGGTTTTTCTAACATCCTTAAATGTTAATTTCAATTTAACCAAAAACTACGGTAGTTATTTGAACGAGAAAATTTTTTGAAGGCGATTGCTCACTTACATTTAATAAGAATTATTCCTATCGATTTTCTTATTCACGTTCTCTTGCTGGTAAAATATGTTCCAACACTGATGCTTCAATAACAGTGATAACAGTGACGTCAATGGCATGCTTCGATTTCACTACTTTGATTAAAATACTTGCATATCAGAGAGTAAGTTTACCTCTGGTGAATTTATAATCATTGCGTGATAATAGCAGCAGTGATGGCAATTTCGTCATTTTTTATTTTCCTGAAAAAGAAGTTTTTTGATGGTAATGCATTGTGCTAACTGTTATTATTTTCATTTGATGACTGCTTTAGAGAATGCGAGCAAATACCATTACATCAACGAGTGAAGCAGTCAGAGCGCGAGGTATCTTGTTCTTTAGACAGGTAATGAGCAGAATTTCAAATTATTGTTAGAACTACACTGAAGGCTACTTAGAAATGACAATTAAAGGTTACAAAACTGAGCGACAAATTCAGTGT